AAATTGGACTCATAGTGATTCTCCTGTTTTCAGCCTCCCAAGTGCTGGGATTACAGGAGCGCACCACCCAGTCTCAAGCGCCACCTCAATGCACCCTGGGGATGGGGCCGGCACAGCACACCAGGGATGAACCCCGGCTGCTGCATCTGCCTAAGCAAGTGCTTTAATCTGCTGAACTATCTGGCCAGTCCTCATATAATGCCTTGCTCAGCAATAGGCTGCATACACGATGTTGGCCCCATGAGGCTATCCCACAAGCAACGTCCTAGCCATTTTACTTTGTGCAAGCAGCTCTGTGGTATTTGCCCAATGGCAAAATCAGCCAACTCTGTGGTTCTTAGACCACAACCCTGTCATTACTAACACATAACACTCATTTGAAGAATGATTATTTTAGGAAAGGAACAGTTTATTTTATGGTAGTAGGGATTGAACCCAGGGCCTTATCACTGAGCTATACCCAAACTTTTAAGAAAATTTTGTTTTTGTCTTAAGACAGGGTCTTACTAATTCTGAGTTGGGTTCCAACTTCCAATCCTCCTGCCTCGGCCTTCCATATTACTTAGATTACAGGCATGTTTCACCATGGCCAGTTTAAGAAATTCATTTTGATAGAAACGTCTAGATGGTGACATGATTCTGCAGACAGTGAGCCTGTGCCTATAGGATAAGGATGCAAATACCAGGTTCAGGGAGGCTCAAGTATTCATCCATTCAACAGTTCATCCAGATAATATTTCCTAAGCACCTACTCTCTACCAGGCACAGTGGCAGGAGAAACAAGTAAACAGGCAGTCCCCACTTCGGGGTGATCAGGCTAGACAAGGATAAGTTGGGGTCCTGTGGGAGCTCTGTGAGGGTGGGGGAAGATCTCAGAGGATGACAGGATTTGAGGGCTGAGACCCCAAAGTCTGACAGATAAGCAGGAGTTGGCTGGGTGAAGACAAAGTCCAGACAGGGTTGCAGGCTGAGTGGCAGAGTCTAGGAAGAGCCAGCCTCTCCTATAATTAGATTCATGCAGCACTTGTATGAGAAGTTGAAATAGTAATTTTGTGATCCCCTTTTCTATCCCAGCTACTACCCCACACATCCCTTTCCCTGCTTTGCATCTACACTAGGCCTTGAAGCTTTTCCCTAAAATCTCTGTGGGGAGGGGCGAGACCTGTGGGATACACTGGGACAAGGCCCTAGCAACTGGCTGAGGGCCAAGAGATTAAGGCTCTCCAGCAAGCTGCACATCCAGATTGCTCACACTGCCATTATTTACTGTTGCCACCCCCACACCCAGTGATAAGGGGCACAAGGGGAATGGATGGGTGACCATATTTAAACTCATTCGAAAATGGCATTTTGCAAAACTCACATTGTTTCCTACATCTCTGAAGAGTTCCATGCCCCTGTGCTTGAGCATTAGCCCGTGGCTCCTGTAATGCTCCTTGATTTGAAGAGGCCTGAGCCCACTCTCTGTCCACACTAATCAGTAGCTTGACTGAGCAGGGAGGATGAGAATGTGCCTCTGCCTTCTCTTCTAGTCATTAGCTGGCTTATCAGCTCATCCCCAGGGACAGAGAGTTGCCCTTTGAACCATCAATTCATGAGCTGATTTCTATTCTCCAAGTATAGCTGAGAATTTCAGGACCTGCTCCTGCAGCAGCAGTGCCCAAGCAGCAGCACTCCGTGCACAGAACCCCTTGGCTGCTGACTCTGAGGTGGAGGGTAGATGCCTACTGGCAGGATGAACATGGGAAGGAGAGGGTGCTGAGAGGAAGAAGGAAAAAGCCTTTCGGGGAGGCAGAAGGGTACATAATGGAAGCAGAGCTCATCTGGCTACTCCTGGGGGCAGCACTGTACCTGGGGGGTGATGAGGAGCTCACAAGCCTGTGCCAGTGGCCAGTGTTTCTCGAGAGAAGGAACTGCATTTGGCCAAGTGTGCTGGAAGATGTGGGAGGGAGTTTTTAAAGGGCAGAGGCTTCCTTTCCCTTTGCTCCTGAGATACTGCATGCTGTTCTCCTCTACCTGCACCTTGGCCTGGCCTGTACCCCATTGGGCCTCAGCTTTGATCCAGAGATGTGGAGGTCTTAGCAGGGGACTGAAGGCCTTTTGTCTTGGAAAGGCAGGCAGGAGACAGCTGGGTAGCTGGAAGTAGGTTGAAAAGTGACCTGCCCCCGTACCCTGTACTCAGAGCACTCTGGCCACACAACCATAGCCACTTCAGGCTTCAGTTCTTCAAGAAAGGAACTCCAGTAATGAGGGAGACAGAGGAGACTCCTGGTGGCAGAAAAGGAATGGACAACAGTGCCATGAATTTAGTGGAAAGGGTCTGGAGTCCACTTTGAAGAAATCTTATACTCCAGTGTGCTTTCTTGCAGGCCTCTGTGGGACTGTGTACTACATGTGGAAGGGAAGGCCGGGAGAGCTGCTTCAACCAGGAAACAAAATATGGGGGGAGGTATAGCCCCCACAGGTCCTTTGGGAGAAATGGAACCTGGGATTGGCCTTGAACTCTGCTCCCAGCTTCAGTGCACCCTTAGACTAATTATTCAAGTTCCCTGTGGAATCAGTTTCTCCCTCAACCAAATGGACATAAGGTTGTAAATGGCAGGGTCATCTGAGAACCAAATAAATTAGGGCATGGGGAGCTCTCATCAGAAAGCCTGTATTTCTATTCTTGCTGTCTGTGGGAGGATGGGGGCCTGTGGGAGGTGCCTCACCCTGGCATGGTCCCCTTCTCACATCTGAGGAGGGTTCTGGGGAGTTAGCAATGCTAGATTAGGGCCAGGCACTCACACGAATGAGGTTTTCCACAAAATAATGTGAACAGGTACCTGAGCCGAAGCTGTGTGTGAGGAGCAGTGGAGGAGACCTGCTCTAAGTTCGCCTTTCTTCCTTGGGAGAGGCTTGAGCAAGGCAGGCTTGTAGAAAGGGAAGCTGCCATTTCTGGAAGGATGGACAGATGCATCCATCATGAGGGGGTAGTTCTACACTTGGCTGATCCTAACCCTGCAGGAGGCCTGAGGATGGTGCAGAGCATAGCTTGACTTCTGCTGGGTTGCCATACAGTTCGCCTTGGGTGGTTAGCCACGGATACCTTCTCTTGAAGTCCTTTGTCTTTTTGGCCCCACCTTGGCTTCCATTCAGCTTTTTCTCACCCTTCCTGGAATGGTCACAGTGAGGGACAGGTCAGAACCTTGTAGAGGAAGTGCTTGTCCTGCAGATCTTTACAAGGTTGCATGCAGGTGCCAGCAAGAGGTGTCCTTCTCGTTTCTGCCTCTTCTATCATCTCTGGTGCCTTCAGACTAAATTTCTATGAAAGCTGGTACCTTGTCTTTTTCACTCTTTACTTCGACCCTTGCCTTCAGCAAAGTGCTGGCATGCTGTGACATTTGGCAAATGGCCTGGTTGGATGTGTGAATGAATGCACACATGTGTGAATGAATGATTTATTGGAGCCATGATGTCTTCTGAGGTGAATCACAGAGCACTCATCTCATGAAGAAGCCAGCCCTTCAGCTGGGGCAAACCCTCTCAGCGGCTCTGGGGCCAGGCTATCCCACAGCTCTGCCCTAAGGGGATTTCTTACCAGCATGCTGGACCAGCTTGTGGTTTCCAAAGGGCACCCTTCCCACAAGGAGACAGGCTCTTTTGGAGGCACTGCAGTACACCTTGCCAAGAGCAAGGCCCACCAGTCACGCTCCACAAACTTGTTTGCACAGCATCCTTCCCCTTTCCCTGCCCTCCTCCTGCCTCAAAGAAACTCCTTCTGTGCATTTAACAAGTTTTGATTGCCTGGAAATAGCTTAGTTGTTCTTTCAGTAAAGTTACTTTCTTGTAGTGAGATATTATTTGCCTATTTCTAAGCCCATGAAGTTCTGGACCACCTCTCTTTCTTGCTTGGGAGGTTCAATTGCTACTTTGGGGAGATGACCATGTGCCTAAAATCTACATGGGTGAGATCAAGAATCTGAGTTATCCCAGGCCTTCCCAGTGAAACTGAGGATTATTGAACTATTATTGAGCCCAACCAGACTCCAGCGCTGTGCAGATCCCCGAGTAAGACATGATGCCTGCCTTCTCCATGGTAACAAGGCTAAATATGGAGGCATTTCCATGGAGAGCCATAGTGCAGCTGCAGCCCTGCTTCCTCAAGGAAGCATGCATGCTGGGCTCTTTGGCCTCTCAGGAGAAGGCCAGGGACTTTCAGGAAGTTCCTGGGATGTCAAGAGGGTGATTCTCATCTTTGAGGATTTTGTTTCCAACAGGCGTTCCATTTCTCCACCCAGCCCTAGACTCATCAACATCCCAACTCTTGGTAGGTAGATGTTAGCAGAGGTCACAAGCCACACAGATGAGCAGGTTGGGAAAGTGACACTAGACTTGATTGTCATTCAGGCAAGCTGTGCCATCTTCATCTTGCTCCAGGGAATGAATTTTGCCCTGATCAGGAGGAAAGAGGATGTCATTGGTCAGAGGGAAGCAGCCAGACAACCCTTGTGTAAATGCACTGATTCTGTGCTCATCAGATTGCTTTTGGAAGAATTACTGCTACAGTTTTTGAAATGATTTCTGAAAATTTCCATAATTTTAAAATAATTTCATAATTATTGCTACCAAGAGTGTTTTAATGCTTCCTTCCATATTCATAGAATATTCAAATGTGACAAGGTTTTATTTTCCCTTAAGGGAAAGTAAGTTTTTGTTCCTTATTTGAATTTGAGAAAGCCAAATCTTTGCATATCTTAACTGACATAGCAATGTGGAATGAAACTTTGTTTCTGTTGAAATCTAGACATATAGACTGAGTATTAGGCTTAAAAATGCCCTGTTCGTTATCACTCGGCTAGAGAGATTACATCATCTGTGTTTGTAGTTTAATTGTCTGTTAAACTGGGGCTGTCGAAGCACTGAGCACATGGCTATGTTCAGGAACATTAGGAAATATCTATAATGTAGATATTCCTTCCCTCTTGAGGAAGATTGACATTGTGTGTTGTGTGTTGCAGGCCACGTGGCATCAGAGCTGAGTGATGGATGACCTGCAGTCCCAGAACCTCTCGATGGACATGACTGACTCCCCTCCCACCTTAGCCAATAACAGACTGGAGAACGGCATGGCCCAGCTGATTACCACTGAGGCCTGGAATATCAACTCCACCGACCTGGTCAAGAAGGCCCTGGTGACGGTGCCAGCCCCATCCATTCTGAACCCCCCCGCAGAGTCCCAGAGTGGCATGGCTCTGAAAGTGGCAGCCACCGTGCTGCAGCCTCTGTGTCTCGGGGAGAGTCCAGTGGTGATGCCCATTCACATGCAAGTGGAGGGTAGCTCTGCGCCAGAGCTCAACCCCAATGGTAATGCCACCTACGTCATGACCACGCAGGGCCCTGTGCAGCTGCCCGTGGTGCTGGAGCAGCATGTCTTCCAGCACCTCAACTCCCCTCTGGTCCTGCCACAAGAGGCCCCATGCTCCTCCAGTGCCATCCACAATAATCTGTTCCAAGGGGCCGAGGACTCTGAGGCCCAGCCGCAGCTCCTGGACCTGAGGATCCCCAGCCAACCACAGGAGCCCACCCTGCCATTTGAAGCTGTGCTCCAGAATTTGTTTCCCTCCCAGGGCTCTCTCGGCCCCCCACCCTGTCAGCCTCCTCCTAGCTATGCTCCTGTGCCACCACAGCCCTTTAACTCCCCCTTGTCCCCACTGGTGCCACCAGCCACCCTCTTGGTGCCCTACCCAGTGATTGTGCCCCTGCCAGTGCCAGTCCCCATCCCCATCCCCATCCCAGTGCCTCAGAGTTCTGAATCCAAGTTCAGTCCCAGCTTCCCCAAGCCACCATCTTCCTTCAGCCTGCACTCTTTTAAAGGCACACAGACCCCTTTGGAAAAGGATGAACTAAAGCCCATAGACATCCTCCAACCGAAGGAATACTTCCAACTCAGTCGCCACACGGTCATCAAGATGGGGAGTGAGAATGAGGCTCTGGATCTCTCCATGAAGTCGGTGCCCTGGCTCAAGGCTGGGGAGGTCAGTCCACCAATTTTCCAGGAGGACGCAGCCCTGGACTTGTCACTGGCAGCCCACAGAAAGTTGGAGCCTCCCCCCGAGACACTGTATGAGAGCAGTGGGTCAGGGGACAACCCAGGTCAGACCATGATAGAGAAAATTTCCAGTGGCGTGGAAGTGCCCTTTACTCCTGCCACGCTCCGTGAGACTTCCACCACCATGATGGATAGCCACGTGGGCAGCAGCAGTACTGCTGAGATGGTCAGCCAGGCCAGCCAGCCCAGCAGCGAGGTCAAGGCTGAGCATAACAGTGAGATTGGGAGCGAGTCCCAGGCAGCTAAGGTCATCGTTTCAGTTGAAGATGCTGTGCCTACCATCTTCTGTGGAAAGATCAAAGGCCTCTCGGGGGTATCCACCAAAAACTTCTCCTTCAAAAGAGAAGACTCTGTGCTTCAGGGCTATGACATCAACAGCCAAGGAGAAGACTCCCTGGGAAATGCAGAGCCCCTTAGGAAACCCATCAAAAACCGGAGCATAAAGTTAAAGAAAATGAACTCGCAGGAAATACATATGCTCCCAATCAAAAAACAACGGCTGGCCACCTTTTTTCCAAGAAAGTAAATAATGGCTTTTTAAAATTTTTACAATTATAACATGGGGAAAGGTGCATTGGTTTTTTAAAAAGGCATTTAAAACAAATTATCTTTGTTAATTATTTGGGGGAGTAGGTGGGAATCGGAAAAGTGAATCGGCTCTAGAGGCCCTGTAAGCTAGTATCATTTTCTTTTTTAATTTTTGACTTTTCACAAAGGAGTAAATAAGAGCAACCTATTTTTCAAGCAGATTGCACATTTTTTGCAGCTTTAATGGAATATTGGGTGAATCAGAGGGGTAAAAAAGCTATTTTCATTGCCACAAAGTGCTTTGATGATGTAATACCTAATAAAAGGTAGGATAAATATTTCACAATAAATGTTTGTTTGCACTAATTAGTTGCAGTATTCTGTCATTTATAAAATGTGCATTCTTAACTGGCACGACTGGGCCCAAACTCTTGCTTTGTGAAGAGTTGTAAGTTATCTGTTTCTAGAGACCTAGGCTCTTCAGGTATAGTGGGGAATATTGCCCTATGCCCCCATCAAAGGTGGACTTTATGTATAACCTTGATCAAGTTGCTTCCCCTTCTAGGCTTTGGGAGGATTATAAAAATGTGGCAAAAAGGACCAGGAAGGTGAGTTTCAAGTACTCAAGGCCCCTTCCAGTTCACACAGTTCTTGAACATGTCTGATTTTATGCCTAGACTTTCTACGTACTGAAACGAATGTGTCTGGGAAAAAAACAAACTTGCTTCCGTTGTCCACTACCCAAGAATTTAGCTGGGAAGGGCCTTCTTTTCAAGTGAAATGAGAGCATTGTTCCCAATGATTGAAAATCTTGCAAGTCAAAAGTCTGCAGGCCACTCGGAGTAAGAGGAAAGCTGGTGGCTGGTACATTTAGATATAAATACTCCCAACCTTGGGCATGAGATCAGGAAAAAAAGAGAAACTCACTTTTTGCTAGCTTAACCCAGTGGTTCTCAAATAAGGGTGACTGTGCCCCTTCTTGGCATCTGGCACTGCCCAGAGACACTCTTAGCTGATCCTACTGAGAGAGGGCAACCTTCTGGCATTTACTGGGTAGGGACCAGGGGTGCTACTGCATCCTGTAATGCACAAGACAGCATCCCAAAGCAAAGGATGATCTGAGCACAATCGTCAGTAGTGTTGAGGCCAAGAAGCCCTGGTTAAAAGTTATTTCTTGAAGGATGAAAGTGAAGCACTTGGAAGGAGAGAACAGTGTTGCTCTTCCCTGACAACAGCAAGTCACCCACACAAACGAGGCACTGTGAGCATGTGTTGAAAATAGAGCTGCTAGGTGGCACGTCACACTTGTGTCTAACTGTGCTGGCGAGAGACTGATTAGTGCATGGCTGTTTTACACTTTAAGCGCTTTCTTTCACTTCTTGCAATTAGTATGTATCCAGCTGTTACTGTGAACACGAACAGGAGGAAAAGCCGTTGCAGACTGTTCTGCTATTACCAGCCCCTCTGTGTATAGGGTTACAATTCTAGCTAGTCCTGCATCATACACCCAGAGTGGATTTTCTCTTTATGCTTTTTCTCTGTTGTTAAAATTTCTTTTTCAAAGTGTGATCATTTTCTTTTTCAAAGTGCAGCCAAATGGCAGTTTCATGTCAGGCTAACTAATGGAGTGCTCCAGCATCAGCCTGACCCCATCTTTTCAGCTTCTGCATGGTACACTTTGCTGAGTTTTTGTTTTTGTTTTCATTTTTATTCCCAGTGTGGGTTTCTGGCCATGATTCCTGAGCCTGGCACGTGCATTCTAGTTTCAAATCAAACCCAAATGTGCTTAGAGACTAGTGTTTCCTGTATGCCTGTTGTGTTTTCACATACTTACAGTAGTTTCTGCTGTCATACTGTGCTGGACAGCCTTTCCATCCCCGCCAGTAGGGCCCATGTCTTCACAATCGATTGGAGTCGCTTATGTGGATTTGGAGAACAAAACTTGCAATTTGCCCTTTAAAATCAAGCACTTAAAGCTGAGTGACATGCAAGTGGAAAGTAAGGCATTTGCAATCTGTAATTACCTTATAAACCTCAAACCACAAATTTCTCTTTGTTGTATCGGGATGCCCTTCTCTCTGCAGATGGCAGCTCTGGTTAGGTGAGAAAGGCTGGCTGCACAGGCAGCCTCGAGTGTTGAGGCAATGTGGGCCAACCCCAGACCCTGGGTGGCTTTCTGGACTAGGCCTCCCCACCCATCCAAGCCATGCCTTTGGACACGTGTGAAGGCTCTATCTGGAGTGTTGTGTTATAGCTGGGGGTTTTGCTATTGAGGCAACAACACCCTCTGCCTGCCCTCTTCCCGCCTTTGGTGGAAATTGGAATCCAATTTGCTTAGCTACATGCAAGCCAGGGAATCAGGAGAGGGGAAAGGCCCCATTACTGTGGTCAAAGTGGGCCTGGAGTTTGTGGTGGTTTAATTCCATACTCCTTCCCCAAGCAGAAGTGTGTAGCCATTTACGTTACTTTTCAGAGCTAGCAGCCTGGAACTATGTGGTTCCTGGTCTGAGAAAAATGATCCCCAAGGGGTGTTCCAAGTGGGTCACTGACAAAGATTTTCAAACTCTGTTATTTTTCTACTTCATTCTGCAAGCTGTTGTCACTTATCTTCCCACCCCTCACAATTATCTCTAGGTAAAGCACTTTTAGCTACCAGTTGTGCAAGATTTCCATCAGGCTTTTTTTCATAAATTAATTTTTCATCTAGCCTTCAGACATTTTTGGTCAACTAGCTTAAACTCAGAGTTTCCCAAATTTTGTGTGTGTGGGGGGGGATATGATTAGTCCTCAGAAGTGTTGATATTTGCTTAGATTTGTCAAGATGGCTTCAGGCCAGAATGATAAAAAATTGGAACAAGTCACTATGCTACACATTTGAGGTAGAGTCAAAAGTAGTTGATCTGGAAGAGTAAAGGATTTAAAGAACATATACTTACTATCCTAAACAGGGAAGTCCTTGCCAACAAGTAGAAAATTCTGAAAGTGTAGTTAAAGGTTGGTTAAGATTCAAAGGCAAAAATGTCACACATTTTAGTATGAGAAAAAATTTCTGCAATGGTGAAAATGCCAAACCAAACAGACAGAAAGAAAATGAAGGAAAGGAAGGGAAGAAGAGGAAGAGGGCGAGGGAAAGGGAGAGAGGAGAGAGAGAGCGCAACCTAATTATTGAGAGAATTTCAGTATGCTCATTATCTTCATAAAGAACATAATTAATAAAACAGAGCAGGAAAGGATTTAGATTCTATGTTATAAGGGAGGAAATTGAGGCTCAAAAGAGTTTTCTGCTTTCAGTTTTTAAGCATCGACAACTCAAAAATATGTACTTTTGATATTCTTAAATATTGGGTCTGAAACCCAATGAACCCACAGGAACTTGGACCCTTTGGGGACAAAAACCAATATGAATTAGTGAAGGGTCTGAAATATAGATTTTTTTCAGTTATTTTGAAGACCATTCCAGTTCAGTGGAACGTGGAGAACACTTGGCACAATAGTAAAGGGGAGATTTCAAGCCGAAGGGTGGAGATGCCAAACCTCTAAAAACCACACTTAAAAGCTGCTAAGCTGAAAACTTTAACAGCAGGAAAAAAAGCGTTAGAGGTCATTCTGGCAGACTTTACTCCTCATTAAATAAAAAAGGCAGTTTTCCACAACAGCTCACTTCCACCAGGTCAAATAATGAACCCTGCCCCCATAAGTGAGACAAAATAGGGTGTATCGGAGGCCCTTCATTCTAATAATTTGCTTTTATTCTAATTAACATATTGGTTGATTTGATACTAAGTAGTACATGTGACTGTTTGAGAGAATTAGTTTGGAAATCTTGCAGACAATCCACTTGCAAGTACAAGGAGGCAAGAGGAATTCTAAACCAAGTGAGGCTTTGAGCTATGCCCTGCTGAGATTATGGACAAATCCAAGTTAAAGGAGATGAACTGCTAAGGTTTATTCTATTGACTTATAGGTTATTTTTCATCCAATTCTATTCTATGTATATGCTCAGATAAAACTTTAGGCTCACTTTGCTGATAAAGATGGATATAATCACCTGGGAACAGTCCTTCCTCCGCTAAATAGCGTTTTGAATCTAAGATTTGGTAAGGCAAGCCATCAATAAGAATGTAATGAGCCCTATTACATTGATGACATTGTGCTCAGTCCCAAATGGTACTGATACAAGCAATGTATTTAGGGTCACTTCTGATAAAGAACTTGAAGCTTTTCTTAAATGAAGACATTTTCATTAAGACATGTTCCAAGCAGGATTAAGAAATACCACAGTGAACAGACTGAAGTCTTTGAGAGAAGAGATTGAACCTTACTTCTTTCTCTTACTTACCTTATCTTCTAATCTTACTTCTTTATCCAGGTTTCTAACTAAGGCACTATTGACATTTAGGGTTGGATGATTCTCTATAGTGAGGAAGGGCTGTCTCGTGCATTGCAGAATGTTCAGGAGCATCTTTGGCCTCTTCCCACAAGATGACAATTTCTCCAGAAACTGCCAAGTCCCTTAGAGGGGAGGACAAAGTCACTCCTGATGGAGAACCACTGCTTTATCTCCAGGGCCTGATACCTGACCAATACTGAAGGTTCAAAGCATCTTTATTGAATGAATAATCAACCAATCAGGAAGGAGATCTATGGTCTCTGATATTCCATTCATATTTTCTGGTTTACTACTATGATGCTGATCTGACCAGAAACTGTAATTTAATACCACTGCCCACCTAGTCAAAGGGCTGTCATTTATCCACCATGCTATAGGCCTGCTAGAAGCTTTTCCTCAGTAAAGGAGGTTCAGTCTGACTGCCTCACCTCACAGAAAGAGCAGGCATTCTGCCAGTCCTGACAGGATGCCTCATTATTTTACAAGCACCACGAAACTGGAAGGGCCATTATTCAAAACTCGCTCTGTGATGACTGTTCATTGGTCTTATTTCCAAGGGCAGCATAACCCAGGAATTCTCAAATATTGCCAGGAAGTTGGGTGTTTTTATTCCCTCATGTTTTTACCTAACTACTTTTTGCTGTAATTGAGCCCAGTGTTTTGTCTTTAATGGGAACAAGAGCCAAATCTCCTCTTTTAGTTTTCAATTCAAGCACCAGATTGTTTTTTGCAGCCTCCTTCCTTTGAGCTCGAAAGTCCTCTATCTCCTTTCACTTTCTTGGAGTTCCTACTTTATAATTCTTTCATCGTCTTGGTTGCTCTTTCCCCCATCTACTTTGTAGAGTCAAGAACTCCAGGTAGGTGATGAAAATGTTCTAAAGTTGATTGTGGTGATGATTGTACAACTCTGTGAATATACTTTTAAAAGCTTTGAATTGTACATTTTACAATGGGTGAATTGTATGATATGTGAATTATATCTCAATAAAGTTACCTTTTAAAAATAATAAAGGAACCCTAGATAGAAATTGGGAACTGATTGTGGTTCCAGCAAAGCCTCCTAGAAAATAAATTACTTTCTGTCATTGATTGTGTTAATACAATCCTCCTTCCCACGGGGCTCCACCCTCTTTGAATCATTATATGCCTGTTGCCACCGCTTCATTTCTTGTTGGGCCTCACCTATGTGACTTTCCCAAGTTTTTCCAATACTCTCAGAACTTTACATGGAACATGCCTTGTTCTTGGAATCTGGAATGCCCTCACAAAGGAG